GCTTGCATTTACAATATCCGGTGTCCATAGTTACCACCGTTTTCATTTATGATATGCAGTGTCCATAGTTACCACTGCTTCCACTACAGCATACGGTGCCTATAGTTACCACCGTTTAATATAAGAATTTCATGTCATAATATTGCGAATAAACGTATCCCTGAAGGATTACCATTCGGCGCAAGGCCCCAAGTATGGCTTCAAGCCTACAACCATCCCTACGGGATTATACATATTGGCACGTGGCCCCAGACATGGCATTAAGCCCATATGTCATCAATACAAACAACAAGTAAAGCGCTAACCACAATATAGGTTACTACGCGGATTAAAAACGGATTACATTTCACAACATTATTGACCCCGCACTACCATGGAGTGCGTGTCCAGCTCACAATAGCTTCACAATGTGATAATACGAGGTTTCATACCCTCGGATAAGATATACGCCCATTACTCACCTCGAAATGGCCGAAGAACTAGCCCGCAATAGCTTTTCCTTTCGATTTCTCTCCAACGGACGTCGAATCTGTCCAAAATCACACCCAATATATCACAAGATGTTAATGGGACATAACCCAATAGAAAGAACTCGGAAATTAACACAATTCTCGAAATTCGTAAAAACCGAGCCCCGGGCCCACGTCTCAAAATCCAGAAAATTTTACATCATTACGACCCTCATCTCGCCCCGAGTCTATACATACTAATTTCATCAAAATTGGGGTTCATTTGATCCCTCAAATTCACATTTAAAGAAAGTTGGGTTTCAAGCCCTAATCCTCCATTTTTAACCCTTAAACCTTGGTTTCTTAGTGTTAAAATCATGAATTAACACCATAATGACATAATAGAAGTCTAATTCGACTTACCCGATGATTCCCCTCAGTTGCTCTCTCAAAATCGCCCAGAAAATCGCCTAACCGAGCTCCCCTTTCTTTCCTCTAAAATGAGTGTTTTAACACTCTGCATGTTTTTTTAATTCTCTGCGATTTCCGCTTCAGCGGATCTTTTTCCGCTCCTGCGGCTCCGCTTAGGCGGAATTATTTCCGCTTCAGCGGTTTCCCTTCACTTTTCCAGCGACCGCTTCAGCGGTCTTTTATCCGCTTCAGCGGTTCCGCTGTTGCGGAACTTTTTCCGCTGTTGCGGTCCCAGCCGCTTCAGCGGCTCTTCTCCCGCTTAAGCGAGACCGCTTAAGCGGCCTCTTTTCCGCTTCAGCGGAAACACCAGAAACAGCCTGCAACTTTTTTCCAAAATTCTCCGATTGCCATCCGATTTCACCCCGAGGCCCCCGGGACCTCAACCAAAAATACAAACTCATTCTAAAACATCATTCAAACTTGCTCGGGCCTTAAAAACACCTACCTTAACATCAAAATCCTCAAAAATTCAATGGATTCAATTCAAACTTAACTTAAACTTTCCAAATGCTAATCCGATCAAAAACCCGACTTAACGATGTCCAAATGACTTGAAATTTTGCACACAAGTCCGAAATCACCTAACGGAGCTAATGCAACTGTCGGAATTTCATTCCGACCCCCGGATCAAATTCTCACCTATTGACCGGATTCTTTCAAATTCCAACTTCGGCAAACTTAGTTAATTTCCACACCGGGCCTCCGAATTCAATTCNACGATGTCCAAATGACTTGAAATTTTGCACACAAGTCCGAAATCACCTAACGGAGCTAATGCAACTGTCGGAATTTCATTCCGACCCCCGGATCAAATTCTCACCTATTGACCGGATTCTTTCAAATTCCAACTTCGGCAAACTTAGTTAATTTCCACACCGGACCTCCGAATTCAATTCCGTTTTCTCTCCTAAGTCATAAATCATCCCCCGGAACTAGTCGAGCGGTCGGAAATCCGTTCCGAGCCCTCTAACCCGAAAGTCAACTTTGGGTCAACTCTTTCCATTTAAACCTTCCTTAAAGAGACTAAGTGTCTCATTTCTATCCAAATTTCACCCGAACCATCCCACACTCATCCAACACGGATATCAACACACGGGGAAGCATATTACGGGGGTAACGGGACTGAAATGAAATAAATGACGGGTCGGGTCATTACAGTTTTCGACTAATGAGACAACAAAGGCATTACATGTCTTCTGGTACGTAACATTATACTCCGCCCCTGTTACAACTTTTTAACTAGTTTAATATCTCTCAGATATTAATTACCATGATGTTAAATCAGATGTGTTCAAGAAATTCACCAACAAAGATGGAAAGTTCAAGGAAACTCTTACCAAAGATGTGCAAGGATTATTAAGTTTATATGAAGCAGCACATCTAAGAGTACATGGGGAAGAAATTCTAGAACAAGCTATGAGTTTTACACTCACTAATTTGGAGTCAATGGGCCCTAAATTGAGCAACTCATTACTTAAGGCCCTAGTTAGTGAAGCCTTATGCCATCCCATTCATGCAAATCTACCAAGAGTTGGAGCAAAGAAATACATGTCTATGTACGAGGAAAATGAATCACATAATGATTTGCTTTTGAAATTTGCAAAATTGGATTTTAACATTGCGCAAAAGGTGTACCAAAGCGAGCTTTACGAGTTCACAAGGTACTCACTAGTCTTAATTAACCTCTTCAATATGACTTTTAGCTCGCGCCAGAAACTATACAGTGTAACAAATGAGATATAAAATATAACTAATCGATCACTAATACTTTTGCGGGGTATTATCACTTTTAGTTCGCGCCAGAAACTATTTACATCTGGTAGCTGAAAAAGTATATAAAATTTGTATAATATAACATAGAATATCGTACTTCGGATGTAATGAGATATAAAATTTAACTGATCACTAATACTTTTGCACTATAGGTACTGGTGGAAAGATCTGGATTATGCAAACAAATTTCCATATGCAAGAGACAGATTGGTGGAGTGTTACTATGGGGCAGTGGGAGTGTTATTTGATCCTCAATATAGTCGTACAAGAAAAATTCAAGCAAAATTAATCAACATCATCACCATGGTTGATGATACTTTTGATGCTTATGCGACCTTTGACGAAATTGTGGCTTTCACAAATGCGATAGAGAGGTAAAGTATAATTTAATTTAACCCTTGTCGTTGCCTCATTATTGAGTAGAAAAAGAATGTTATTCCCTCTGATCCGCTCTATTTTATGTGGAGGAATTGGACTACGTACGGAAATCGAACTACTTAATATTCTTCATGTTTTTTCTAAAACAAAATTCATATTCTTAAACACTACATATATAAAGTCACAATTGTTTGTGATTCGTAGGGCTGTCGAATTTGACCCAAGCCCAAATGATCCGCCCAACCTGCCCATGATTGTGCTAGTTATTGACCCGTCTATTTGTTGTGAAAATAGCATGGACTAGCCATTTTTCGGACTGATAATAGAAAAATAGTCAGTGGTTGCAAAGTTATTAAAAAATAGTCATTATTTTGCTGCAACACGGAAAGTTCCAGCATAATATATTGCCGATTGGTGCACTTGTGTATGAACTTCTAGCATATGATGCCGGAACTCCAACACACAGAAAAATCCAGCATAATATATTGGAGATTGGAGGACCTGTGTATGAACTTCCTGCATATTATGCTGGACCAGTATATTATGCTGGAATATTTTTCGAATTTTGAACAGTGTTTTCGTTTAGATTTATTTTTATATGAAAAGTCGCCAAATTTTGATTACTTTTGAAATTGTGGTTATTTTTCAATTACCACTTGTAAATTTGGTTATTTTTGGATTTCACCCCTATTTATTGAACTCAGTCTATTTTGGCCCAATCCATTAAAAGCTGGACTGATTTTTTGTCCAAATTAATCTATGAGTAACTTTTCCAAAATATCTTAGAAATAATTTTTTGGTTTGATATATTGTATATGACCATAACAAAAAAAATCTTATTTAGAAATTATACAATTCTGAAGAAAACAACATATTTTAATTAAAATTTGGTAAGTGTTGGGTGTGTTAGACTATGATTGATATTTTAGCTCATCTTGACCTAGCCCATCTCAACTCAAGTAATTTTTTGGGGAAAACTACCCTCTATAGCCCCTCAAAATTTTAATAGCCCAATGTTTTGTACCACTTTCAAACAATGGCCCTTCGCCCCAAACAGAGTGCATATAGTAGCCGAAATGAATAAGCACGACAATATAAGCGCTTGTAGCTTAGTGGTTGGGGCGCTTGTTTCTTGAGTTAAAGGTCGCAGGTTCGACCCTCAGCTAGCGCGATAGAGGAACCTTTTTTTTTTGCAATGTATGAATATTGTATCCCAAGGTCGACAGTGTATCTGTAACGACCCGACCGGTTATTTTTTGAAATTTCACCCCGTTTTTCCGTTAACTGTTTCCCCTAAGTGTATTTGAACTATTTTGATTTGCCGGGATGTTCGGTAGTTGAATTCGGAGTGTTTTCAGACAAATAGTCCTTATTTGAGAGCTTAAGTGTTGGAAAATGGTCCATTATCGGAACAGCACCAAGACGACCTCGGAATGGAAATACGATGGTTCCGTTAGCTCCGTTAGGTGATTTTGGGGTGGGGAGCGTGTCCGGATTGTATTTTGGATGTCCGTAGCTCAATTAGCCTAGAAATGCCGAAAGTTGGAAATTTGGAATATCCGGTCCGATAGTGAATTTTTGATCCGAGGCTCGGAACGAAGTTCCGTAAATTCCTGTAGCAACGTCATGTCATTTGGGACGTGCGTGCAAAATTTCAGATCAATCGGACATGTTTTGGATAGGTTTTTGATCGAAAATAATTTTTGTTAAGTTTTGAAATTTTAAGTTTAAGTCAATGATTAATTCGTGTTTCCGGCGTTGTTTTGGGTGGTTTAAGGATTGGAATAAGTCCAAACGATGTTATGGGATATGTTCGTAGGTTTGGTTGAGGTCCCGAGGGCCTCGGGGGTGTTTCGGATGTTCGACGGAGAAGTTGGAACTTAGATATTGCAGCAGAAAAATTGCAGAAGGAAATCCTTCTACGCGTTCGCGATGTCACTCCGTGTTCGCGTAGTTTTGCTCCCCAGCGTTCATCGCATCCGCGTAGGACCTCCGCGTTCGCGTAGTGCTACCAGCCCCCTTTTCCGCGTTCGCGTTCCCTTTACGCGTTCGCGTAGTTCAAGCCCTAACCCCCCTTTTCCGCTCCTCTTCGCGATCGCATACCATCGTCGCGTTCGCATAGTTTCCAGGCATCCAAGCCTTCGCGTTCGCATGGACCCTTCGCGATCGCGAAGGGTAAAATCTGGCCACTTAAAGTTTCTTCTACGCGAACGCGTGGTCAGGCCGCGTTCGCGATGCACTGAATCCCTGTAACAGTTTATATTTTCCAAAACACGAACTTTCCTCCTTTTTTACAAAAACTCAAGCTAGGGAGCTCGGTTTTGGGTGATTTCTCGAGGGGTTTTTCAGAGGCAAACATCGGGTAACGATTCCTTACTCTATTTTGATCATTACCCACTAATCTAAACTCAAATTCAAGCTTTAATTTCGGATTTTGCCATGAAATTGGGGTTAAGTTCTTAGACCTAAGTTTGATGATTTGAGGGACCATTTGACCTCCGATATTGATAAATTTTATATGGTTAGACTCGTGAGAGCGCGAGGTTTCCGAAAATGTAAAAATATTCTGATTCCGAGACGTTGGCCTGAGGGGCGTTTTGGTCATTTTACCTAATTTCGCGTCGTAGCTTCAATTTTATCAGCGTAATTAGTTAATTGCATTGTTATTTATACATTGTATCTGGTTTGAATATATTCGGGCCATTCGGAGTTAGATACTCGTGGCAAGGGCTTTGCTTCCTATTGATTTTTGGTACTGGTTCGAGGTAAGTGACTTGTCTAACCTTGTGTGGGGGACCTTTACCCCTAGGATTGTTTGCTGTTGGTTTAAACGCCTTGTGTGCGAGGTGACGGGCGTACACTTGTGCTAATTGTTGAAATTCACCTTACTTGAAATTCTCATACTGTGTCCTCTCGCTTATTTGACTGTTATAAAAATACCAGATTAGCATGTGATAGTTAGGGAAGCGTAATTACGCATAATTAACTGTTTTAGTTGCTTATTTGCTCTCGGTGAAGTATGTGAAGCATGTTAGACTAATTTTCCTATTATTGTTAATTCATGCTCAGTTTCCGTTATAATTGACTGTGTTTGTGCATTTAAATTGGGACTACGGATGTGGGATTCCGGGAGTTCCCCCTTGTTTGGTTTATTTTGGGACTACGGGTTTGATTCCCGGTAGATCCCCCTGCACTATTATATGGGACTACGGCAATGCAGCCGGTAGATTTCCCCAGTACAGATTGATACAAAGGGCTACAGAACGGTATCCTGGGAGACCCTTCAGATATATTATACGATGGACTACGGGTTAGATTCCCGGGAGATCCTCGTACAGATTTATATAAAGGATGACTGAAATGAACCACAGAAAGATATTCCTGAAGATCTTTTGAGTACTTGTAATTTATTGATATCCTTCTGTGCACCTTCTATCATTGTTGTATTTTCTCCTGCTTAATTAATTGTTTCAGCTGTATACATACATTCAGTACTGTTTACTCTCAGTAGGGCCTCGACCTTCCTCGTCACTACCCAACCGAGGTTAGGCTTGGCACTTACTGAGTACCGCTGTGGTATACTCATACTACTCTTCTGCACACTTTTTGTGGTGCAGATCCAGGTACTTCGAGTTCGACATTCCAGCAGTGAGTCCGGAGCTGCTTTTCAGGAGGACTTGAGGTATGAATCTGCCGCGTCCGCAGATCCGACGAGTTCTCCTTCTATTCTATCGGTAGTTAGATAGATGACATCCTGTTTCTCTTGTATTAGACATTCCAGATGTTAGAGCTTGTCATGTTTGGAAATTCTTAGCCTGTGCTGCCCGTGAGTTTCCGGGTT